CTGAGGCGCTAGCGGGGCCGGCGTGGGGCACCCCGGGGGCTCAGCGAGGCCGCCGCTCGGCCGTGACCCCTTGGCGGGCTGGCGGCCATTGTTCTCTCACGGGTTCCGTGCTCAGGGCATTTTTGACCTACCCGGGGCTTGCGCTTAGTTGGAGACCTGATCATCTGGTTAAATACCACCGGGCCCGCTTGGCCCGTGCAGGCTGGCTGCTGGGTTGCTAATATTTGAGAAAAAAGGTCACCCCCCGCCCGTCATCACTTGATTTAGACGACGCAGTAAACGTTAGATACCTAATTAAGAGCGATTGCAGTTCTAACAACGAGACTGTTTACCGATGCTTCATCTGCATTCGCTATCCTCCTGCCTCCAACATGCTGGTTTCCAATTAGATCTCATTCGGTATACTGCGTTTACTGGACGATGTAGACTTAGATAGAACTCTGATCCTCCCGGCTTCGGGAGCTACATGGCTGTCACCACGCCCAGCCGAATCTCTCAGATTTGCCTGGCTGTGCCCAGGCAATATTAGTTAATGTGAGAACAGTGTCATTTACCCGGGCTATGATGGCTTTGTCCCAAGACTGTTAGCCAGAAAGAAGACAGCTTGCTCCGTCCTGCACATGGTGCAGTGCCACTGGGCAGTGATTGGCATGTGCCTACCTGTGATTCATTCGGCTTTACACTCACATGCCGTTGCTAAAATTTGGTTACGTGTTTAAGGCTTGTTACTATTGTTGATGGTAGGGTGTAAGCTCACGTTTATTACTGTTTGCCAGTGACTAACAGTGTGCTGAAAAAAACATTGAAAAAAATGTGTATTGAACAGAAAGTGCCTAAGGAGAATGGGGTTTGAAAGTGGCATATCATGAAGCTATAACGTTAATAGCTTAAAAGTTAATAGTTGTCACATTTATGATTACATTAATCTGCCTTATGGAATAAGATACTTGAAGGATCTAGAGATGGGAAATACAAAGAACTGTTTGTCTAGCCGTGAATGACAATGGGCAGTAAAAGGGACCATGGAATCTGTGGGACACAGATGGGGTGGGTCTGGCGACTTCTGTTATGAAAGTAGACTTGGCATGTTGCTCTCTTCCCCTGTGACCTAGGGGAAATATTCATAAAAGCCAGTGTTCCTTGAGTTTTCTACTCATACCTCGTTTGAGAATTTGATAAAAGCGGTAGATAGAGTACTCCATCTCAGACAGTGCTTTGTTAGTCAGGATGTGTCTGGGGAATTGCTAGGTGTTGAGTGACAGCCCTGCCTGATGCCATCAGTGCCCATTTTCAGTTGTGGTAACTAAGAATGTTTGAAGAAGCCGGGTGTAGTGGTCCACGCCTTTAATCCCAGCACTGGAGAAGCAGGCAGAGGCAGGCCAATCTCTGTGAGTTCCAGGCCAGCCTGGTCTACAAATCGAGTTCCAGGACAGCCAGGGCTGTAAGTTGGGGAGAAAAAAATGTTTGAAGATATTTACAGATGTTCCCTGCGGAATCAGAGTTTATGGCAGTAAACTTGGAAACGTTTCCTCTGCTGCCTCCTCTTTACCTGCACCATGTCTGCCTGAGGTTTTCTGAGACTGCCACCCAGGCCCTCTGGCCTCCTCTGTGCTTCTTATCCTTGACGGCGCCTCATTCACCCCCGTGTTTAAGCACCATTGCCTAGAGAATGTGGAATCATGGTAACTGTGATGACTAGGACATTTGAAATACAAAGGAGAAAGGCTGACGGCGGAGTGGAGAAGACTGAGCATGTGTAGGACAGTTGGTGAGAGGCGGTGTCTTCGCTGTGCTACCAGCTGGTGTCTTGCTTCTGTTACAGCAATGTGACAGCAAACGAGATGTGAACTCCTTAGGATTTCTGCACATTCCTAGTTTTAATTTTAAAAACTACAGTGCTTCTGGTAATATTCTTCTTTTTCTGCTTATAGACAATTTCTCTAAGATACTATGCAGTAAGAACTTGCTGAGTTTCTTATCCAAATCCACAGTGGAATGAAAATGCTTCTCTGGGGATGGAAGAGGTTTATTGATCTGTTTGTATGCACATTGGGATTCCTGGGGTGAAGGAATTCTCAACAGATAGATTATCTGAAGGACTTTTTCAATTTATCTGTGGTGGTTAACTTGATACCTAAATTAATAAAGTGGCAACAGGGTTTATTAGAAAACAAAAGAGGCATGGTCCAGGTTGGGCGTGGAAGCTCACACCTGTAATCCCAGGACCCAGGAGAGTGAGGCAGGAGAATAGCCTTTTGAGAGGCTCTGTAGTGAGTTCAAGGACAGCCTGAGCTCCACCACTACCAATGACCCAAAACAAATCAACAGAGGTTCCTGTCTCTGGGGCGCTTTCCCTGGAGATGATGGCCATGAAAATAGCAGCAGCAAGCTCAGAAGTGTTTCCTCTGCTGCCCCTCTTTACCTGTACAGTGTCTGCTTGAGGTTTTCTGAGACTGCCACCAAGGGCGCTTTTCATCCTTGAAGGAGTCTCATTCACTCTGGCTCTGAATGTCGTGCTTCAGATGACCCCTGCATTTCCAGCTCTCATTCCAGCTTCTGTTCTGAGTTCACACAGACGTCCCAGCTGCCCATTGCTCACCTTTGCCTTGATGTTCCAAAGACAACGTTGTGTCAGACTGCATTGACTCTATGAAGCCATTGATTGTAAGTAACGTTTGTATCCAGCAAGATTTTAAAGTATGCTACCAATTGAACTATGATTTTAATGCTAACATACTCTTGATTATAAGGTAAATCTTGATTTCAGCAAGATAAAAAGAAGTTTAAGTAATAATGTGGGCTGTTAGAACAGCATCAAAAAGAGTCAAGTACTTAGGCATGACCTTACCAAGAGAGACTCAGAGCCTGTGTTCTGAATACCAAGCACCATTGTTGGAAGACATTGATGGAGAGCTGAGTAAATGGAAAGGCACCTTAACTTTGTAAGTCAGGAGATTCTGAATTATACCAGGTCAGTAGTCTCTGCATTGATCTGCAGGTTCAGTATAGTCCCTAATGAAATCCCACTGACATCTTTGCATATGTTAAAAACTCTATCTGAATTATTGGAGCCAAGAATAGCCAAAACAGTCTCAAAAAGAACAACGCTGGAAGACACACACTTCCCAATTTCAAAACTCTGTATAAAACTGTCATCATTAGTCCAGTATGGTAGAGGCAGAATAAGGACTCTCCACGTCAGTGGACGGAATTGAGTCTTGGGATGGCCTTCTCGTCTACGTTATGTTCCGTCACTTCTTCTTTCATTCCTGTGACAAGTGCCAGACAAGGGCTTGTCTGAGCTCCCAGGGGAGAGTGCAGCCTGTCGTGAGGTGAAGGTGTGTAGGTAGGAGGCTAAGGCAGTGGTCACATGGTTTCTGGAGTGATGAATGCTATTGTGCAGCTCATTTTCTCCTTTTTGTTCAGTTTGAGACCCCAGACTATAGAATGGTGCTTCCCCCATTTAGCCTTCTCACCTCAAATAGCAGTCTAGAAAAATCCCTCACAGACATAGCCAGAGGCTTGCCTCCCAGGTGATCTTGTCAAGTTGACAGTAACCGTCAGAGCAGTCAAGGAATGGCCAACACTAGTATCAAAAACACTTCAGCAGGGTAAGGAAAAGTCAATAAATAAATGGTCCTGTGGCAGCTGGATGTGGGGGAGCGAGGTTAGACTAAAGCACAGAATAACGAGTCTGCCCAACCTAACAAGTCCTGCTGTCATGTGGGGAAGCTTAGGTGTTTCTGTGTGTGTTCATTTCATTCCATGTATCCAGCATTCACCATCATTTGGCATGATGTGGACACCCAGGACATGTTTATGGAATGAATGTATGTCTGGATGATCCCTTCAAACCAGGTTGGGAGGCCTCCGGGGCACCTCAGCCTGCATTCCACAGACGGCAGCCGTTGCCTCCCTTGGTTCTGGCCGGTTTGTCTGGCTGCACCCACACAGGCTTCAAGCTCCCTGCAGTCCTTTAGTGGCCAGCACATGGGCAGCACCTGGCACATAGTAGGGGATCAGTACATGTGGGTAGATGTGTGAATGGATGAATTACAGATAGTGGGTTATGAAAGAAATTAGAAATATCAATGACACTTGGTGTAACCAATGTTTGTAAATGAGTGCCCTCTCTCTTGGGACCCTACTAAGTGCAATGGGAAAGAAGTTTAGAACATAAGCCACTAAGACAGAATACAGAAGGAAAGACCTTTGTCACAAAAGAGAGGAGAGGGTTTCCATACTGGAGAGTAGATAGCAAGCCTAAATAAAACTGAGCAATCCAAGGCTGAAGACTGGGATGGAGTGAAGGTTTAAGCTGACTATGGAAGCCCTTCCCCTTCTCCTTCCCTTTCCCAGCTGGGCCTTGGAGCAGACAATCTCCACCTCCAGCCTAAGACGGGGAGAATTTTCTTGAGGATTAGGAATTCTCTCAACCCAATAGAAATACCTGAAGACACTGGGAACTGCAGTTCTCCCAGATCTCTTTGCATTGGACCCATTTGAAACATGCTAGCTCCCTGAACAGAACTTCCAGTCAGCCCAGAGCTTGCTCTAGTGTGCCATCTAACACCAAGGACAACCAGCAGCAACTAGAGCAGAAAGCAACTTGAGAAGTAGACTGTTGAGGGAGAAAACTCGAGAGACCCACAGGAGAGACGCTGGCCTTGAGAAGACATGTGTTTTAGAATAAAGGAACACTGGAGAACAGCAAAACCAATTTTAATGTTGCTCCAGCTATCTGCCAGGAGCAGTGCTGGCTCAGGAGAAAGGCTGAGGGAGAAAACGGAAACAATTCTGGAAGAAGCGTAAGAGAGCAAAGGAGCTGTGTGATGGTCTGTGTTTAGTCAGTACTTAGGAGGCAGAGGCAGGCAGATCCACAGTGAGCCCCAGGCCGGTCGGAGCTACATAGTGAGGCCCTGTCTCAGACAGACAAGCAGAGAGAGAAAATATGAGAGGAAAAGGCAACCAAGGAATGACTTCAGTACCCCCAACATGCACCTGAGGATTCCAGAAAAGGAGGCCAGAGAAGAAGGAATCATAAAAATCTACTTATGAAAACTACCACACTGATTTGTTAGCTGAAAGTCTCCATGAGGAGGATAAAACACACCACGGGACAACTGTGACATTTTAGGACACTGGGGACAGAAAGCTTAACCTATGTATTTCTGAAGAGGAAAAATGAGTTAGTTTCATCAAAGAAACTGGTTTAATATTCTCTATTAAACAGAATATGGAGAAAGACATAAAATGTATTGAAACTTTTCTTTGTGTTATTCTTGCTAAGCTTATTGGAAGATGGGCTCCACTAACGTAAGGGAGCAAACGGGGTGGTGGTGGTGGTGTGGGTTCCAGGACAAAGGGATCTAACCCAAGAGTAATGAAGGAAATATGGAAGAGGAGGCTGGGGAGGCCAACATGGC